TTTTCATTGAGATAAAAAAGAAAATACATTGTTATATTATTCATGTAACATTCAGTTCTACATGTAGCCTTACTATTTTTGTGTTAGGAAGATGAAATGCTTCAACATTTTCTATGCACAAGTTATATGTCAAAATATTTGTATTGCAAAAGTAGCAGTAAGGGCAAAATACTATACAAACAATAAGGATCGACAAGTTGGAAATTGGAACCCTATTGGAGTTATTCAAGATAAACTGAAAGCAATGTACAACTTAAACATAGACACTTCCTACACAGCAATCTTTAAGCCCACACTCTGTGGCTTCTTTATTAATTTAATGTATTTCAATAACTGCAATAAATCACCTTCTATAGGCCTGGAGTGGGGGCTTTAAATTATTATATTTGTTTTATTTGGATGAAGAGAGTTCTGCCCAGGGAACACCAACCAAGGGGATGGCACGCTCACTCAAGAAATGATGAGAATGATGTCAGTTTTCTAAACAAATGTGGCCATACAACTCTGCTACCTGATGTCTGGTATGTAGATTGATATTTGATATTAAATAAAAGGACCATCCTTTTAGGGAACCCTGAGAGCTCTTGTTCCTCTTTGGTGCGAAAAATAATTCTCAGATTGGCAGGAAGCAGTTATATCTGACTGAGCAAAGATTAATGAAAGCTTATTCTATCTATAAAACATCCAATATTTTTTGTATAGCATTAGGGTCACCTTAGATTTAGAAAAGCATGGGAGATGTAAAATATAACCTTGTCATATGATGGCAAAATTACTGCCACTGACGAGAGAAATATTTGGACATACATCAAACATTAAGCTATAAATCGAACTGGATGAAGCTGTTGCAGAACCGGAGAGCTCCTTCAGTGACAGAGTGCTGAACCCCAAATGCACCAGTGAGCGTTATCACAGATCCTTCCTCACAGCAGCTGTAAGACTCTATAACTATCACTGTTCCCAACAACCTAAAGAAGTTGCTACATTCATTCAGTTTCTATCTTAGTCAATTAAATAACATGGTGCAGTCATTGTTTGCACATCTATGATGTTGCTGCTATCTTCAAATATCCATTACTGTAAAAATTTCCATAGTGATTATATATATATATATATATATATATATATATATATATATATATATATATATATATATATATATATATACATATATTCATTTTCCTGGTGCAAAGTTTACAGTACAGTATTTTATTGTTTATATTATGTTATCCTTATACATTTTTCTATTTGTGTGACCATTTTTTCTATTATCGTTTTGCTGCTGTAACCACCAGAATTTCCGCATTATGGGACAATAAAGGTATTTTCTATTCTATTTCTATTCTGAGAGCAGTCGGAGGTGATGCATGCAGGAGGCCCAAAACTGGTGCAGACAAGGCCTAAACTTTAAGGTATACCTCTACTTAAGAAGTACCCCCTATTTTTTTATTGCACCCACGAATCAAAATTCTTGTCTGTCCTAAAATTCACTTCAACAATTGTTCGTGAACTTGTTCAACTAAATATTTTCATCGTGTTAGTTTCTCTCCAGATATTATTTTGCAGGACATAAACGCATTATGTGATGATGCCTTTTTCATTACATAACACCGGCTGTAAATGCGTAAAGCGCAGCAGGAAATGAACGCTGTCAGCGCATCACAGAGGGAGGATGTGGATGTGACCATGTAAAAGTATAGAACATCGCTGTAAAGAGGGGGAAACACCTCTGGAGGGTACCTGTCATTTTAAAGAGTATCGCGCGTCTGCTTTGGGTTTCGGTGACTGCCCTGCGGTATGACCTTGTGAACTTGGCTCTGATTGTTCCCCCTGTCTTGTCTCTCCGGACACCCTTGGCATTTCAGGGAGTTTTTCTTTTTCTTTTTTTTACAGGCTAAACCAGGCAGGAAGTGACATCAACGAGTCCAAACTAAAAATTATGTCGCAGGGCGAGCTGTCTAGGATGTCCAGGACCGGTGTTGGTTAAAAGAGGAGGATACCTACCCCAAGGTGATGCTCCCCATAAAGGATGCAGCAGGGTGCCACGCTGGGGGAGGCAGACAGACTGACAAGACGCGAGCGGGGCTGAGTGAGTCGCCTGCTTGCTGTGTGCTGATGCCGTCACTTTCATTCATGCAAGTTCAAATATGGTGCCATACTTTGCCCCCCGTCTGAGCCGGTGACGCAGCGCGATAAGAGCTGACGGAGGGATTTAGTCCGCGTTGCTCTCAGAAACCAAACTTCTGTCATTCCAAATTGTGACAGAAAATGGAAGGAAAGAAAGGGAGAGGAACTGTGAGCCATAGGTGCGCTTTTGCGCGTTTATTTTCCACAATAATTGTGCGTATTTTGATTCACTATTCCAAACCTCTTTTTGTGGCAGCTTAAAATGTGCATTATGAAAAGTCTATATAGCTCGACATGCGCAACGAAGATGCGGAAATGTCTCCCTGACAGTCGCATGTAATCTTCTTCCACTACTTGTGCGTCTCATCCTCACCAGGGAGGCTCTGACAGACCCTGCTCTGCCCAGACTGAGCACTGCAGTCACGTGGTCTCTGTTATTTGCGCTGACGTCAGGTGCATCCAATCATGGAGGGAGTTTATACCGGGGTTTTAGACTTATTCTTAAACTTTGCTGCTCAGTGAGCAATGCATATTTTTTCCCTCTGAAATTTGAATAACAGCCATTCCGGTGTCTGCTGCTGTATCCTGACTGCTACAGAAAGAGATACAGCGTAAATGAGCGCATGAATCCAAGATAAATGAAAGCAGTGTTTAAAACACTGGCTTATTCCACCAGGAATTTATTTCTGATTAGATCAAACATTATTGGTTAAATAAATTGTTTTTTGTTTTGTTTTCTTTATAAAGAAAGCTATTTCCACAATCTCTGTTACTGCAAATAAATGCTTAAACATGATGGGATTTTTGGAAATTCCATGAAATTTCTTAGAGGGTTGTTAAATAAAACAAAATTATAACTGTACTTAAATATGTCTAGTGAAAAACTATTTGTATTGTTGCAGATTCCTCCTGATTGTGTTGTTTGTATTTTTGTCAGTGTTGAATGTTTAAGATGATCTGACACACGTTAACCCTTTATAGGGCAAGTTATCATTTTTGATCACTTGCATACCCCCCCACCCCCTTTTCTAGAAGCACTAGATCTATATCCAGCCATTCAGCAAAGATACTGCTACATGGCTGGACATCTTATTTTGGCATTTGACCAATTAGATGAGCCCTTGAATGATATGTTACATACTGTAAATTAAGATGGGAAAAAAAAGTGAACAAGTCAAGAAAAAAGGTAAAAAGCTAATTAAAAAGTTAAAAAGTGAATTGGCCTAGTTAACAATTATATTTAGATTTATAAAATGTAAAATGTAAGTGCCAGTATCAACATTAATACCTGTAAGGTTATGTTGTACAAAAAAATATGTTTTTATTTTATTCAGAGTGTTTTTCATGTATTTCTTATAGAAGCACTTTTGTTATTGTTCTTAATATATTCGGCAACTTGGTGTTTCTTGTTATTACATTGACATGAATTTTCGCCATTAAAAGATCCATATTTTCTGAATGTTACAAAGGTGATAAGATCTTGTCCTGGATTCCAATGGCTTGAAATTTGGATTTTTAAATTATTTCACTGAGTGCCCTATAAAGGGTTAATAATAGACTAAGTAACTACAAATCCCCTTTTTTAAATGATCTCAGACTCATAAAGGAAGTAAAACTACCCAAGCTAATCTGCATTTTAATCATTAATTAATTTGGCTACATTAAGACCTGATCATAATAGACATAGAGTTAAGAAATCACTTAAATAGAAACTTTGTGACAGCATGATAATATAATTTCTCTTCTGTTTGTAATTTTAAAGGTCCTATATCATACAAAATCAACTTTTCTTTTTTTAAGGATATTTTTTAGGCTCTAGTAGCTTTGAATTTTTTTATTTTTCAGAAGTAGGCAAACAGGAAGTGGGAATAGAGAGAGGGGAAATACATACAAAAAACTCAAGGCTGTGATGGCTGCATCCAGGACTGAAGGCTGAACCAGGTCGTCTGCGTGTGTGTGACAGTGAATGCAAATGTGCCTGCACCCCTGCTGCAGAGACTCTGCTCCACCTCTCCAAAATTGTAGGTGACCACAGACAGTGCAACAGACAGGAGTCCTCAGATTGGTCAAATCTATATCCGTTCTACACTATCCATATTTCCTGTTTGGTACCTTACAGGCTTGTTTTGTTTGCATGTCCGCCATTGTGGAAAACAACTCGTGAAGTTGGACCAGCTAGAAGAGCAATGTGCACGAGAACGCTGGGACCCTTTTCCAACCTGGATCCCCGCTCTTTTTCCCTCCATTGTCGCATAAACTTGCCCCCACTTCCTCACTGCCTCGGGCCATATCTAGACCCACAGCTAGTTTGTGATTGTCCCTCTTGCGTTGTGGTGTGAAATAACATAGCGCAGAACACGCTTCAATATTGGGCATAAATCAAAAATATCTGCAACAAGCTCACTGCGATACACTGCTGCGGGAATATAGAGTTCTTAACGCCTCTTTTGTGCATTTAACCCCTGAAACACTGCGGCGCCCTGAGTTTTTTGAATTTTTTATGTTTAACTTTTATAATGCTATTCCTTCATCAAAATCATCCTCAAAGTGGTCTGTTGCTTGATTCATGAATTTCAGAGTATTTTGAATTCTGCCCTCTGAGAAGCATCCCCTCCTTGTCATTGAACATGAGTGACCAGGACAGGTCTATCTAGAGCTGTCCTTGCTTTCCACTCCAGGAAGCAGATACCTGGGCTTAGACGTGCATGCCTAGTAAACCAAATACCCACTCTCACCGATCAGCTGATGTGAGGAATTATTCAATCATTTCCACTCAAAGTTGAGACAAAGTGGGTCCTTAGGTAGCTAATCTGCAAAGGGATAGAAAGTGCTCTTTTTAATTAGTATCTAAGTTGTGAAAATGTGTTTTTCAGCTGTGAGAGGTCTTCCAACGAAGAAGCCAAATCACCCGAGGTGGTGTGAATTTTGACATCATGAAATTGGGATACCCAAACAGGGAGAGGTGCCATTGTGGTAAGAGCAAATGTCTGTCTTCCAGGTTGAAAGAAAATGACTAATATTTTTAACAAACACATACTCTGTATTGCATGTATTGCAATCATACAAATGCCGATAGTTGACTTGCTTGAAAAATATGCTGAAGGACATTTAAAAAAACAAACAAACACAAGAGAACTAATTTAATACTCTCTAAGCATTTTCAAAGGCTTGCGGAAAACATGAAACAGTGACTCTCAGAGCCCATGACGACTCATCGAGGATGTCCCAAACAAACCCCAAAACAGCAGCTGTACCACCAAAGGCCTGGCTTGCTTCAGTCAAGGTCAATGTTCTTGCCTTGCAGTTAGAAAGGGCCTGAACAAAAATTACTTTTATGGAAGAGTCACCAGGCTAGGTCTTGATTAAAAACATATTGGTGATGCGCATGATTTGGGGGAAAATCTGAAAGTAAAATCCTTGTTGCAGCACTTTAAAACTGAACAAAAGAATTTATTTCTATTCTTCTTCAATGAATAATACAGTCAAAGAAAATGGTTTTAAAATAAATAGATTAATCAAAGCTGGCAGGTTCTTAAATAATAAATTTTCATTAAACTTCCTACAAGCAGTCTACCACACGGACACACTCTGTTGCCATCATAGTTTACCAGACATTAAGTACATAAGCATTTAAAACAAAGATATTCTAAAGAGACTACCATTGACATGTCTGTTTACAATATTATCTTAACTAGTGGATGGTGCGTCTGATTCACCTAATTCACATACACCTAGCTTAAAGGTATTGTGGAGGTTCTTCGCAAAATTCTGAAAGGCCCGCCCTCTACGATATAAAAAAAAGAAAAGAAAGTGCACGTGCACAACTCTGACCTGCTCCCGAGAGGCAACACCTATTAATCACGTGCAAGAGCATGCACTAGCTCCTTTCTCCTCGTGCACACTCTGTTTACTTGCTGTTTGCATCGCTCATACACGCTTACTTTAAAAAAAAAAGATTTTTAATTTTTTCCACTTTGTCAGTAGCCTGGGTGCCATTTCGAACTTAGTCCCGCCCACAAAGTTTGAGGTCGGGAAGTTCGGTCTGGCTCTGCTCCATAGTAGCGCGAGTATTATCGCCCACTGTCAGGCGATCCAATCACATTGTCAGGGCGGGCTTTATACGATGATGGACAGATGATCAACAGTAACGTAATCAACCACGTGACCAATGCGTGCTCGGGTGACAACAACAATGGCTGCCGCTGGAGAGTTTAGGTGAGTAGATTCTGCTATTAGGTCTGTTCTAGAAGATATCGACAGCAAATTCATTTTAAAAGAGGAACAGAGAAACGCGATCAAGTCTCATCTTCTTATTATAGGCGTGAAACTGCACGCTTTGATTTTTGTGGACAACAACTATGCCTCGCTTAACATACGTCACGCACTCCGTTGCTCTTATTGGTTGTAGGTCTATCCAATTGAGTGCAGAGGCATTTTTTTTCCTGGTTCGTTCGAAACACGCCCCATAATCACAGCTCTATGGAGCAGTATCAGACTCATTCTGACTAGAATTGAGTCGGACTACGTCAGGCTACTATGTCAGACTCACCACCTGTAAGTGAAAATGGGGACGAGTACATACAGTAGGACAACCTAAGTAAACATATTACCAGATTGATTGACAGTTAGAAGGAGCACTTATTTTGATGATCCACCCGGAAAAAGAACATCATCCACTATACCTTTAATGCATCTTTCTGGTGTGATTCTTGACTTGGCAGTTTACATTAATTGTTTTCTTGGCACAGACCTTGACTTTGAATATAGTTTTAGCAGGGCTAAGTTTGGGATGATATCAGACAATGTTTTCTTTCTGCTCTATCTATTACAAACTCTGTTTTAAGCCTGCCTTGAATATTGATCCTGTTTCCAGCTGTGTCCAAATTTCATGCGATGAGCTGTTTAGTTACATTTGTGATTTAATGGTGGAGGTTAGTTTAGTTAGTGGTCAGCAAACTTATAGTTTTTTTTACTGATGGTTTCTTTACAAGCATGAAATCAAATTTACTTTTTATGGTAGGCGTACATTTTGGATTAGATGAATCTTTTAAACTGGAGAAAGATATATGCTGTAGAGTCATAAGGGTTGGAACTATGATTGGATTGAATGAATGAATGAATGAATGAATGAATGAATGAATGAATGAATATTTCAGACAGTTTATTAAAAAAATACAATGTAACACATGTAAATATAGTGTACAATTATTAGCATATATAGCTATGTCATAGTATAATTTAGTGCTTATCTCTGAATAATCTGAATCTGTGGTGGGCGAAATGTATTTAATTATACATTTTCACATTGATGATAGTTACCGTAATCGATTATTAAATTAATAGTTTCACTAATTTAACAAGCGATTAATCGTTAAGTGGAGTATAATAACTCCAAAGCATCCAATCAACTCATAGAAGAAATAAGCTAAATCTTTAAATTTATGGTTAGAAAAAAACTTTTTTGATAATAACTCCAGACAGGGTTCATATTTTCTATGAACCAAAGTTAAAGTTCTTTTAACATGTAAAATAATTTTGTTCCCATTTCAATTTGCATTACAACTCTTCATACGGAATGCTTATTTTAAACATATAAAAAAAAATATTTTTCAGATCATCGTTTGGGGTATCCCACTTTACATTTCTTGTAACCCAAGCCCATTAGGATCTTTACACTGATCTGATGTTGGAAAAGAGGAAATATCTCCATATCTCCTAATCTAAATCTTTAGGATTTAATATCTGTAATCAGTAATAATAGACTATTCTGCTTTGTAAAATGATACATGAGCTGTACAGTAGAGCTACTACTGTACAGTTACATCTGGCACGTGTGTGGAGCAGCCTGTGGGATTACTGGTGTATATAACTCATGCCTCCGTAGCCTGCCTGTCTGCAGCGATAGCTTCATTATTCATGGTTGCGTGTAGACAGCAGCGCTTAATCTCTGGGCAGCCTGTGACTCTAGAGCTAAATGCCTGTGCACGGTCAGCCTGTTCTGGTTCTAGTTAAGGAGAGTGGGAGAGAAGGAAAACTGTGAGAAAAACAACTTCAACAGAAAGGGAAGATCAGCCGAACACCCTGTAACATTGTGGCATTTTGGCCAAGCAATAATTAACCCGACTGGACTTGTGAGAAGAGCTGTAGATTCTCGTCGCTGAAAGGATCTTGGCAGGGGGCCTTTTGGTGCTTGACAGGTGCAGCATGAGAATGGCGTCAAGAGTTTTAGGGAATCTAAACCCGAGCTGAGTCTAAACAACGGCGTCTCGTGCTTGTGGGGTCAGGTGCCCTCTTTGACCCCTGAGGGCCCTAAAACACAGACCGAATCATCCTTCTGCGGCAAAGATAATCAGTGAAGAAAGCTTGAAATTTTAACTTCGGTGCAAACATGTAGACTGTAATTTATTTTGGTTTTCCATCATAAATTGTACATGAGGGAGAGCTGGTTTATGATATGTTTAAATTATCCTTCTGCCATAACTCTGCTTTAGTTGATAAATCTATATTTGTGTCTAGGCACTGAGAGGTCTAAGATGTGGTGGGACATGTTTGGAGTTGCACTTTTCTCCTGTCCTACTTTATCTGACTCACACTGAAAGAAATTGGCAACACTTTTTGGTTAAACACCCATGTGTCCGATAGCATTATACAATGCCCCTGAAGGAGCTTTGATCATTCAGCTGTGATGGCAGTGCTACAAAAAAATCCTGCAATGATGGTTTTTGACATGTTTTTTAAGCCAAGAATCTGCTGTGCAACAAGAAAAAAAAGTCTTGAAATAATCTGGAATGGTTCTGTACTGTAAGAGGGGAACACACAACTCATTGTGCTGGCCGTTAGAGGGAGAAAAAGCAGTGGCGCTCACCGTGTCATGTTTTTTCTCGCTTCCTGCCTGTAATGCTTGAACTCCATAATCCTGGTTACAGCCATTACAAATCCTGCTGCCTTGACTTTAGACCCCAGACAGGAGACAGGCTCTGCAACTTGGTTTCATTTAGCATTCCTCTGAGCTTTACGGGCAGGTGTTTAACATTACTGGCAGGATATTTATTGGCAACTTTAAAGGCAACTTTTTTGCTTACCTCTCAATTAGGGCGCACACAAATACAATGCGTGCACTGTAGGTGCAAACGCACACAAACAAGCACATGGCCGTGCTTAAAAACAAAACATGATGTTTTAGTTATAATTTATGTTTTATCCACATTTGGTTCACAGAATACATTTTTAGGTACATAAACCCATCCTTTGGACAACTCTATTCTGTCAAGCAAAAAAAGTCTGTAATGTAATATACATTTTCTTTAATTAAAATCTGAACAGTGTGGTACGCATTTATGTTTAGCCCCCACTGGGTCAATTTATTTTTTACTGTTGCTGAAGATGCGGGTCTATTGAGGTTTGTTTCTATCATCTCTGCACAAAACAAGACCAAAAGATTTGTCTTATCTATACAAAATTTATCAAGCTCAAATTATTTTTTACAAAGATAAAGCTTATGAGTGATATTTAGGTTGGGTCTTTGACTTGGTCCTTTTTACTTATTAACATGCTTTGATCTAAACCAGTCTATTGCAGCTCGGGTGGTACGTTTGGGGTCATGGCATTACTGAAATCTAAACTTTACAATTTTTCAGCTATCAGTTTTTCTTTTAGAGATTTCCTGTATGTATCTTTTTTTCATTTTACTCTGACCAGCTTCCCTGTTGCTGCTTAACAAAAAGCATCCCCAACAGCATAATGCTTCCACCAACATTTAAAAAAAGGGCTATGTGCAGTATTAGATTTCTCTTAGACGTTTTGTATATTGGCTGTTAACTTTAAATCTAGCATTTATCGGACTGGAGCATTTTTTTAATGATTAGACTTGCCCTCTATATGGCTTAGCTTCAAACTTCAAACATCTATGATTGCCTTTTGTATTCAGAAATGTTTTCTTGCAGCATTTTTACGAGGCCAGTTTTGAGAGGTGC